TTTGAGATGTGGTATTTTTGACACAATCACACCTCTGAAAACTACTGCTGGTATACTTTATGTCTCTATTGCCTTATGCAACAGTCAGTTCAGAACAAGAGAACAGAAAGCTAGTACAGGTTGGCTATAAAGTCTTCTAAAATCCTTCTTTAAAATGCCAGTGGTAACCTACTTCTTTATATTTCAGAAAAAACTCCTGCCTGAGGTTTCTCACCTTATCAAGTACAATTATTGAGCTCCATTTGGACAGCTCTACCTTGAATTACAACATTTGACTGCCCAGTTTCAAATGAATCCTGGCTTTAGTGCACTTTGTTTTATCTTTATTTCAAGTCTCAAGAGAGACTTGAATGGAGTTCAATATCTCCAAATATCAAACTTTGATATTTGGAGATATAACAGATTCAACAAAACAAACAATCCTGTTGTTTTAAAAATGTATTTTCATTCATTCAATCAATCAATCAATCAATCAGTTTCCATGGCCATCCATCTCAATGACGCAATTTAAACTGCTTCAGGATTTTTACAATATAAAGACCAGCTGTGAAATTCAGTAGACCATTCTAGTCTATTAAAGAAATAGACTGAGTGAGTAAACCACATCACCTCTCATTTTTTAAATTAAATATTTCAACAAGCTAAAATGAACCATATACCTTGGGACATGCAATAGAAGATAGTTGAATGACATTGGTTCACTTCTAAGCAGTACTACGAGGTTTGTACCCAGAATCAGTGTTATAATTTATCTGTTGCAGTTATAAAGAAGTGATCCTTATTGTCCTTCCTTATGAATAATAGACAATTTCAACTGATATAGTTCAATAATTAACTCCTGGCTGAGGAGCCTGACCTAGAGCTGAAGTCAACTTATTGGCCTCTGCTGTGTAAACTAAATATGCCAGATGGCAACTTAGAAAGAGTTTCTTTTGAAAGCTGTGTTTGCAGTTGGCAAGGCATGGACCTGAAGCAGCAGTGAACTCAGTGGAAAGCATATATACTTACTAGTAAGAACAAACTGTCAGGGTATGGCACTGCAGTACACCATAAGTATGCTGCCTAGCTTTTCCATGATTGATATCTTGCAATTCCTTCTTGTAAAGAATTGGGCTCCTTCCATTTTGGCTACCACTCAGTGGGGGCAGCCAGCTGCTAAACAAAAGCTAATAATAAAATGATGCCTTTCTTCTCCAAAGTCAAACCTGCTCATTCATAAACCAGTTCATTAAAAAATGGCACACATCCCAGTCTGCATATACCTGCTTGATATATAGCTGAGCTAGAGTCTAAAAGCCTACATACTTGACAGTTAATGAGGGGAAAAAGCACATCACATAAACCATGAACTAAAGTTCAAGTTACTTTAGTTAATTAAATTTATAACCCCCTCCACTTTCCTTCAGAAAGGCAGGACACAATACATAGCATTTCCTCCTCTAATTCTTTCCCACAGCAACTTTGTGAAATATATTGGACTGAAAATGAACAATTGTTCCCAGGTCACCCAGAGGGTTTCAATGGCTGAGTATCTCTTTGATCCTAGTCCAACATCTTCACTATTATACCACACTGATATAAAGAGAAGAAAGCATACAAATATCTCCCTTATATACAAGACATTAAAAAGCCCCTTCTTTCCAAATGCATGCTTTCATTTATGACAGTATAATTTAAAGCACAGCTCCATATTACAGCTCTTTACAACTAATATATATCGAAACACCTCTCACAATATTCCATCAGAAAACTATGTAGATTAGGGATTTTTAGAATTCAGGTTCAGCTCATTTAAAGACAAAAAAGAGACTGCATACAAATGAAAAATATGCAACATGGATACACCGAATTTCCCCTTGTGACATACTGTAAATATTTTTATTATTTTATTTTATTTTTAAAATTTATAAACCGCCCCACTCCCGTAGGACTCTGGGCGGCTAACAATAAAAACAACATAAAACATGACAAACAAAACAGTACAATTACAGTCATCCAGGGGTCAGGTTTTATAAACCCCAGGCCTGCTGGAAAAGCCAGGTCTTAAGCAGCTTACGGAAAACCAACAGGGTGGGAGTGGTCCTAATCTCCGGGGGGAGCTGGTTCCAAGATGTGGGCGCCATCACAGAGAAAGCCTGCCAAATGGCACTGCTTGGCCGACGGAACCTGAAGGAGGCCTAGCCTGTGGGATCTAAGTGGCCGAAGGGAACTATGAGGTCTCGCAAATAGCCTGGCCCTGAGCCATATAGGGCTTTAAAGGTAATAACCAACACCTTGAATTGGACCCGGAGACCAATAGGCAATCAGTGCAGCTCACGGAGGATAGGTGTAACATGGGTGTATCGAGGAGCACCCACTATCACTCACGCGGCTGCATTCTGGACCAACTGTAGTCTCCGAATACTTTTCAAGGGTAGCCCCATGTAGAGCGTGTTGCAGTAATCCAGACGTGAGGTGACAAGGGCATGAGTGACTGTAAGGAGAGCCTCCCGGTCCAGGTAGGGTCGCAACTGGTGCAACAGACGAACTTGTGCAAAGGTCCTCCCAGCCACAGCTGTCAAATGATGTTCCAAATTCAGCTGTGGATCCAGGAGGACACCCAAGTTGCGAACCTGCTCCGAAGGGGGAATATTTTCCCCTGCTAGAGTCAACACTGGACACTCGACATGATCCTTGGGAGGGAACATCCAAAGCCACTCGGTCTTGTCAGGATTGAGCCTGAGTCTGTTAACCCCCATCCAGACCCTCACGGCTTCAAGGCAACAACCCATCACATCAGCCGCTTCACTGAGAGAGCTCGGGGAGGAGATATATAGCTGGGTATCATCAGCATACTGATGAAACCTCACCCTGTGCTGTCTGATGATCTCACCCAGTGGCTTCATGTAAATGTTAAATAGGAGGGGGGAGAGGACCGACCCCTGAGGCATGCCACATTCAAGGGGCCTCAGGGTTGACCTCTGCCCTCCCACCAATACCGATTGTGACCGGCCAGAGAGGTAGGAGGAGAACCACCATAAAACGGTGCCTCCCACTCCCATCCCTTCAAGTCGTCGCAAAAGGATACCATGATCGATGGTATCAAAAGCCGCTGAGAGGTCAAGTAGCACCAAGACAGAGGAATAACCCCTGTCTCGGGCCCACCAGAGATCATCCAAAGCAGTTTCTGTGCTGAAGCCGGGCCTGAAGCCAGATTGAAAAGGGTCTAGATAATCCGCTTCATCTAGAGACCGTCGGAGTTGGAGCACCACCACTCTCTCTACAACATTCCCCAAAAAGGGGAGATTGGAGACTGGACAGAAGTTATTTAGGTCAGCCGGGCCCAGGGTAGGCTTCTTGAGAAGGGGTCTCACAACCGCTTCCTTCAAGGATTGTGGGAAAGACCCCTCCCTCAACGAAGCGTTGATCAACACCTGGAGCCAGCCTCGTGTCACCTCCTTGGCGGCCGAGACCAACCAGGAAGGACACGGGTCCAATAAACAAGTGGAGGCGCTCATCGCTCCCACCGCTCTGTCAACATCCTCAGGAGTCACAGACTCAAATTCATCCCATAAAACTAGGCTAAGACCTGCCCCAGTCATCTCAGAAGGCCCTGCCCAATCGGAGTCTAGGTCTGTCAGAATCCGAGCGATTTTGTCTGATAGGAACTGCACAAATTCCTTCCTCTCTTTCTTGAAGAGAGAGCTATACCAGGGGTCTTCAAACTTGGCCCTTTTATGATTTGAGGACTTCAACTCCCAGAATTCCTCAGCCAGGCAAGCTGGCTGAGGAATTCTGGGAATTGAAGACCATAAGTCATAAAGTTTGAAGATGCTTGAACTATACAAATTGTAATAATCGGCTTCTTAAACACTCTGCCCAAATCTGTCAGCCTGTACCTGTACTATTTCAAAATAGTACCCTCCCCAAATGCCCAACTCAGAACAGCCTTTTTCATGATTGTGGCTGCCTATTATGACTTGCCATCATTGCTATCTTTAATTTCCCCAAGCTGAGCTTTGTGTTCCAAGTTCTGCTGGGCAAACCAAAAAGCCATGCCTGAATCAAGGAGTCCACTTTCAGTCCACATTCAGTTCTTCAAACAGAAAACATCTGTCCCAAAGGTCTTCCTGTATCACCTCACAATGGTAGGGCTACAGCTTGTCCAGTTGAGGGAAGTAAGGTGAAGAAGTAGGATAAGTGGAGTCACTCCCAATTTTACATGCACAAAGTTGCTATAGTATTTCTTTTTCCTCCAAGTGGAAGATAGCAAAATGAAGTAGCAAACTGAAGTCAGCAGGTAATGACATATGAAGAATTGCAAGAGAGTTATCATGGCGAGTCTGCTCATATTCTCTCTTTTATGAGTTATTTTTTTTCTGGTGGATCCTGAACTCTTCCTATCACAATAATTGAAATTTCTGTATACCCATCTCACCCCATCCACCCCTAAAAAAAACTTCCCACACATGCAACAAAAGAGTCAAGGACCTTTTCGGCACTGAAAGAGACCTATAAAGATTACCTGTTGCTTTTAAAAAAAATCCATGTTGAGAACTATATTTATTCAATATACTGTATTTTAAGCTGTTTCTTATTTCTCAAGGCAGCTTACAAAAATGCAGCTCTTATATTAAGTGATGTCAAGTTAAACAATATTTCAAATTTGACCGAGTTTAAAAAAAATATTTTACATGGCTAAATCTTTAGGCTGGAAGTTCAAACCAAGGAATTGGAAGAACTAAATAGTAATCTCCCTCCGCAAATATCAGGAGGCTGTTTTATCTAATGTCACTCTCTGAACACAAGTCATATCAACAATATGTTTCCAGAAAACCATTTTTTATTTTACTGTTTAAAGATGTGATAGCTCATCTTTCTCACAATAATCCTTGTATTGTGCAAGTTAGTGCTGACTTACATAAAGGGTTGGTTACATTGTAAAATTAACATCAAAGATGATCCCTGGTCTTGATACAAGGCAGAACAATAATAGAACTTCTCTGCTGAGCTTTGCTTACCAACACAGGATTCCCCGGAAAGTGAATAGGTTCCATTGTCATGGAAACCGCTTCTGCACTCACAGTGGTACCACCCTGGGAGGTTAACACAGCGTGAATGGTTGTGACATTCAATGATCCCCTCAGCACATTCATCAATATCTGCCTCAGAGAAAAACACAAGCCAGCCAGGATATTAATTTTCTTTTACACCAACATTTTAGATAATAAAAAATACAACACTAAGCCCTTCCGGAATACAATGGAATGCACCTTTTAATGAACAGATTACCCTCTACACACAATGGCATCTCACTGCCCCGTATTTATAGTTTACAAACTTGGAGGAACTTTCTTTAAAATAAACCAGGTTAAGGTGTTATCAAGAACTCTTGGATGACCTTTGGGAAAAGTAAATTCCTCATCTCTCTTTTAAATAGATTTACAATATTTGATCTACAAATAATGTAAATTCACCCAGGTCTTTTGTGATGCAGAGTTGAACCTTCAATTCATCACACCAGATATTTTTTATCTTTATTTTTTATCTTTTATTGTATTGTAATTTTGAACTCTGATGGTTATAAGCCATCCAGAATTGAGAATCAGGCTGCATACAAGCTGTTATTATTATTATAATAATTATCAATCTTTGATAATTGAATTGAATGGGATTTTTTTCATAAAACATATTATAAAAATAGAGGAAAATATTTATTTGGGAATAGGAAATAGTCATTCAGGCTTAATATGATGTTGTGGTCTGGAGATATTCAAGTGAAAATCCCCTTCAGCCACAATGAACTAAACGGGTGATTTGGAGGGAACATTTTTTTTTTCAGTTTAACCAATCTTACCAACTTATGGTGAGGCTAAAATTGGAGCAGAACAGACTACTCAATTTATACTGCCTTGAATCCCAGAAGTGAATTATGTGTGCAATCTATATTAATTTATTAGACATATATTGACAACTTTAAAGATGAATGTGGAAATGCCTAAGATAAATATAAACATTTGTGAGTTCTAAGTCATATATTTTTTCAGATTTGAAAGGTGAAGGAAACCATTTGTCACAAAGTAGAAAATAGATTGTGCTCTGAAAGACCTTGGATCACCCCCAGGAAGAAAATCACTTCCTCTAAAGCAGTGTTCCTCAATCTCAACAACTGTAAGCTGTACAGACTTCAATTCTTAAAGTGGCTGAGGCCGAGAAACACTGTTCTAAAGGATGTTCCTTTAAATGGCTGCCTAACCAAGAGTTGCAGCCATTTAAATCCCCCTCATATGATACATCTACGCTGTGCACTGACATTAGACTGGGCTATGGGTTGAAAACTGCTCAGAGGCTTTCCCATCAACTCATAGGAAGAAGGGTTGAAATTCTTGCTCTCTTTAAAATGTATTTTTATTATTATTTTATAAGTGAAATTAACAGGCAAAAATAAAAAAGAAACAATTGTGATAATACAATGAGAAAGAATAATGGTGATCATAAACTGAAAAGTTGAAAAGAGAAAGAGGAAAAAGACTCATAAAACAAGTCCTAGAGAGGAATATTAATAGACAGCAAGCTCAATCCTTTAACATGTTATTAAATTTAGACCATATATAAACTTAATGTTCCATCTTCTTATTTTTACTGTTTAGCAGTAAGATTTATTTGACATTTCAAAGATTGACAGAGAACACATCTCTTGAATCCTCACTTCAACTGCTGAAGCCTTACTTATTTTCTTTCAAACTATGTAAATGAATGCTCTTTCTAATCCCCAGGCTCAATAAAGCCAAAGTTTTCCATAAATCCTTAAATTCCATATTTTTTATTATATTCCCCTTTACAACAGCTATGTTTGTCCCCTAAAAAAGAAAACATCCTATTAATCCAAGAGCCCTCACACTTCTTATAATAGAAAGGCCAATAGACACAAACTAGAATTTTCTGCTGGATTAATTTCATCTCTAAATAATATTTAATATTTCTAAAAACCTGAGCCCACTAATTTTCCAAAACTGGATACTCCAAGTCCTTGTTCTATAAATGTGAACATTAGCAATACTGACCCTTGTTGCATTCTTTCATTTCTTACATAAATGCCAATTTTGCTTCAAATACAGCTTCTCTTAAATATTCCATTACTTTTGATGTTTCTAAGACAGCTAAAGATTTTTGTGTAATATTGTTCTGACAGTACATGCTGTAATTACATATGTTACCAAATAGATGTTTCAGGTAAATTGATTCTAAATTGCTATAAAAAGCCCAGTTTGTGCAGACAAAAAAAAATATCTTTTTAAATTCGCTAGCCAAATAATAACTTTTGGTTTTTAGAGCTGGCTTTAGCCTCTTCTTCCAAGAAGAACAAAGATACACTCTTCCCCCCCATTTTTACACTCTTCCCCCCTTTTTGAGATGTAATTGATCTGGGCCCTATACAAAAGAAGCTTCATTCAAAGCATGATTCTGTAATGGAAATGATCAGACTGATGCCTATTTTTCACTCAAGGCAATGTAACAAATGAGTTATTCCAGTTTCCCATGCACTCCCATTTATTGGACCATTGCTTTCAGTCTACTAAAAAGATGAAAAAAGAATTACACTGTGACATAGGATACAGTAAAAATGGCACGGGGAGAAAAAATGGTGGTGATGGTATCTCAAACAATATTCTGCCTTGCCCTTCCCAATTTGGAATCTTAAAAAATTATCTTGTATACTAGATATTTTTTTTTAATTGAAAATTTTTAAGATTTTACAATACAAAAACAAAACAATTTTCCCCATCCCTCCCCAACCCTCCCCTTCTCTCCCCCAACTATCCCAGAGCTGGATATAGGCTTAATTAGAGTTTCTTCAAAAAATCTTAAAAAAAATATAAAATATAAATAAATCTAGATACATTACTTAAACAAATTACTAAATAATTAACAACAATATATATATATAAAGAAAAACATAAATACCAGAAAAGAAGAAAAAAAGGAAATACATAAAAAATATAAAAAGAAAATTAACTTTTCAATATAAGTTATAAAACTATAAACAAATCTAAATACATTACTTAAACAAATTATAAAATAATTAAAGATAAAATATATTTTAAAAAAAGAGAAATAGAAAAGAGGAAAGAAGAAAATAATAATAATAATAATAATAATAATAATAATAATAATAATAATAGGGTTTGGCTTTTCAAGAAAATTGGCTTTTCAATATAAGTTATTAAAAAGCTAAATAATATTTTTTAATATCCATCTTGTGTTGTACAAAATCTATCCATTTCCTCCATACCACAACATACTTCTCTTGAGATTGATCTTTCATCTTTGCCATTTCCGCCAGATAAGAAAGTTTAAAAAGCCACTCTTGCAAGGTAGGCAGAGATTCCTTCTTCCAACATTGTGCTACTAACAACCTTGCAGCTGTGATTAAATTTAACATCAATGTGATATCTTTAGTATCACAATCTGTAACAATACCTAATAAAAACAATTGTGGGGTAAATTTTACCCTCCTTCTAAAAATTCTTTGAATATTCCACCATATCTTAATCCAAAAAGCTTTTATATTTTTACATATCCACCAAATATGATAGTATGTAGCATCCAAACTTCCACATCTCCAACATTTAGGCTGTAGATCAGGATACATACGAGATATTTTTTGTGGATCAAGATGCCATCTATAAAACATTTTATAAAAGTTCTCCCTTAAATTTTGGGCTTGCGTAAATTTAACATTCCTCACCCAAATAATTTCCCAGGTATCTAATAGTACCGGTTCACCAAAGTTTTGTGCCCATTTAATCATACATTCTTTGACTAACTCTGTTTCTGAGTTCAATTCTACTAAGACCCCATAAATTCTCTTAATGTGAGTTCGCCTTTGATCTTTTATTTGTTTAAACAAATTCTCATCTTCTCTAAGCAAACCCACATTCCGATCTATCTTCCACCTATCCATTATTTGTCTGTAGTGAAACCATGAATATATAATATTTTCCTGTGCTAAATCTTCCATAGATTTTAACTGCCAATTTTTACCATCCCACCTGAGTAATTGTGCATAAGAAATGCTATCCATCCTGACCCCTCTTCTTATCCCTTCTGTCGCATGCCATGGAATAGCCCATAGTGGGATTTTAAAATCATTTCTATAATATTTCCTCCAAACCCGAAGTAAGGAGGTCCTCATAATATGAATTTGAAGACCCTATCAACCTTTTTATTAAAAATTAGATAGGCATGCCATCCAAAAATTAAATCCCAACCCTCCAAGAGGAGTATTTCCACATTTGTTAAATTAACCCAATCACTTATTAATGTTAAAACCACTGCATCATAATACAACTTCAAATTCGGTACCTTGAGTCCACCTCTCTCACGAATATCTTGTATAATTTTAAGTTTTACTCTAGGTTTTCTCCCTGCCCAGATAAATTTATTAATACCTTTCTGCCATTCATCTAAATTAACCTCATTCTTTAAAATAGGTATCATTTGAAATAAAAAAAGAAACTTTGGCAACATATTCATTTTAATCGCCGCAATTCTTCCCAAAAGAGATAATTGCAGCTTTTCCCAATTTTTCATATCTCTTTGTATATTGACCCACAGCCTTTCATAATTATTTGGAAACAGATAAAGTAACCCCCAGGTATTTTACCTTATTAATAACCTCAAAATCTGTCAGATTAACCAACACCTGCTTATCCAAATTAGTCATATTTTTAGGCAATATTTTAGTCTTATTATTATTAATTTTAAAACCCGAAACCCGTCCATATTGATATATCAGTTGTAATAACTCTATTACAGAATGAGTAGGTTGAGATAAGGTAACCACCAGATCATCTGCAAAAGCTCTTAGTTTATATTCTTTCTTATTAAGTTCTATTCCTTTTATTTGCTGTGACTCTCGGATTTTAATCAACAATCTTTCCAAAGTTAAAACAAACAGCAACGGTGACAATGGGCAACCCTGTCTAGTCCCCTTCTCTATTGTAAACACCTCTGACAAACCCCCATTAACTATGAGTTGTGCCGTTTGTTTTTGGTAAATAACACCAAGAGCTTGTAAAATTTTTTCTCCAACATTCATTTTGTCAACTAATCTTAACATAAATTGCCAATTCAATTGATCAAAGGCTTTTTCAGCATC